ACGACCACGACCACGACCACGACCACGACCACGACCACGACCACGACCACTACTACCACTACTACCACTACTACCGCGACCACTACCTACTACCTACTTTCTACTTACTCCTCCTCCTCCTCACCACTTCCACCTTACTGCTTTCATAGCTATGAGAATATAGGGTGGGGGGCCTTGCAGACCATTTTATAGTTGTAAAACGGTCCGGGTAACCTACATTAACCTACTCAAGGCTATGACTTGGTAAAATCCCTAGGCATGAGGGTGGCGACAAAAACCTAGTTCACTATAAAATCACCATGCCTGACCTCAGAAATACAACTTGCACATCAGCAAAAACTGTCACAGTTTCACAACAGTGTTAAAATCAACACGTTTCCTCTATAACATCACCTCCTGACCCCCCCCATCAGGGGTACCATAAAACGTTTTATGTGAGGGGTAGTCCCTGGAGATTTCATACGTATATATAATAGAGCATATTCACATGGCTATCTACTTTCTACTTACTCCTACTCCTCCTCCTCCTCCTCTCCTCCTCTCCTCAGCCGCTTCACGCGCCGCCGCCAACCCCTCGCTTCCTCCCAGGCGCCGCGGCCGACGGTGGCCACGGTGGCGCCGTCGCGGCTCTTGAACTCGAAGGAGCGCTCCGAGAAGCTTCCTTCCTTGCGGCCGCGAACGGGTGCGGTGGTGCGGCTTTCGGCCTCGCGAACCGAGGGCAGGGGCTTAGGAAGGCCTTACGACTAACGGGCCGGAGCATTCTTCCTGTGAGCGGACGGAAGAAATATGGTGCCTTCCATATTGACCTTCCGGTGTGAAACTTGCATGTGGGGCACATGGCCAAAAAGGGCGGTGGTACCACATCGTGTTGTTTTGTGTTTTGTTTCTTTTTACCTGTTTTGTGTTTGTTTTTGCATGTGGGGTGGATGGATGCATCGTCTTGTGTTTGGAACATGTGGGGACCACGTGTTCACCTTCCACCGATGTCTTGGACGGAGTGTCGCCTGACGTCCGACACCGACCCAGACCGTAAGGGACCGGAATGGACCAGGAAGGGACCGGAGCAAAGGAAATCAGGTCATGGAGGAGAATCCCGCTCCAAAGCTAAAGCTTATCAAACTCAAGGTTGCCTAGCAAGCTTTCGTGAAATGGGACTTGGAACATGACGATGGGCTTGAACTAAGCCTGCCAGACTGGGGGCTGACGAGCTAGGGGGCAGTGAGGTGGGAAATGCTCTGAAGAGGGGCCGGCTTGAGCAGTTCGGCACCCATGGCTAGGGCGAAATTTGTTTCACAAACTTGTGTTTGGTTGACACCCGCTTAGAGCATTCACAGGATGCAACAGCTTGACCAATCGGACTCTTGGATAGACTGTCCGATGCTCTCCCCATCTCTCTCCGGCCAGTTGGCCGTTCCTAAGTGGAGGAATCCCAAGTCATTCCCTAGGGCTCCAAGTATGTTAGAAGGTATGACTCTTCTAAGAAGGTCCGACTGGAGCCCTAGGGCTTTGGTGTTGATCTCTTAACCCGAAGGTACAGAGTGCGCAGAGCCGGCTCTGGCGAATGCTGAAACAGGCTGAAGAGCCTCACCCAACCCATTTTGAGAAGCCATGGCCCAGGAGAGTGACAGGGATCTGGTGGTTTCGGTGAAATTTGTGAGATCAATAAAGGAGTTTTGACCCAACGACAACAACATTATCATTACGTGTAGTGCATAATTGTACAACTAACTGATCACGTCCTGTGGAACAAAGCAAGCTGAACCTATACTGAAATGTACTCCACAACCCCAACATGGCATTGTAGCACATATCGTAAAGAACAAGAACCACATGGAATGTGACAATCAACCTGAAACAACCAGTTTTGCACAAAGGGCTGTCCTCATCCCATTCAGGTTCTTTTGATTCCCTGCAGTTTCTCAGGGTTCATGTACCCTAGAGGGTTCATGAACCTCCTCAGAGGGTAGCCAGGGAGGGTAGCCTGGCCGCCAAATGTTTTAGAACCAGAAATGCGGCAAGGAAAGTCACAAAACAGAAGATTACGGCTTAATCTGGTGTGAAAAATGTGGCAAAGAGGACCGAAACATCGCCACAATCATATGCCTAGGACCACGTGTGCTTAAACCCGATACTCCACCAGTTCCATTGCGTTACTGGTGCCAAAAACAATTCAGATCTTTTCTCCTTCGAGCCCACTGTGCACAGCTAACTGTAGCTGCACACAACCCTAAGCCCTTTCGGAGACTTGTGGGGCAAACCAATCTATTCCATCCAGCAGTTCGAGTGTTGCACCCCCCTCGTGTGGCATCACAAAGTGACTTGCCTCGCACAGGTGTTGGTTGAGCAACACCAGCACGGAGGGCTCTTGCGGTATGCAAGCTGCGCTCGGACAAACCACTACTATTGGGACCCTGGCACCCACCCCAGTCCTTCTCAGAAGGTCTGACTGGAGGTTTAGGGGTGGTTCGCTTTGCATCCTCAAACATCACCACGCCACCCGAACCTCGCCACGCGAAAGTTCCCTGGGGTCGGAAATGTTCCTCTTGGGTCGAGGAGATGTCATACAGGTCAGGAACTGACGTTCTTTCTTATAACTTTTGCTAGTAAGGTCTTATTAGCTATGAGTTA